AATGTAATTTTTGTAATTTTAGGAGGACTTTTTGAAGCGAAGGACTGATTGTGATAATGCATTAGTGGCTAGGGCAGAGGTATCCACTTGTCAATCTGATGAAGTGTTATTATTGCAGGCTGTTGGTGGTATGAACAAGAAAGGTCGAATATATGGTTTAAGTGCAAAGGCGTGGAATTATAAGTCCACAAAGATTTCTGCTAGCTCGTTAGGAGTCTCCACATATGAGTATGATCACATGAGAGACTTGGTCACCAGCTTATCCAGCTAAAATGAGCAGCTGAAACAAAAATATGAGCACACGCAGCAACAAATGATTTTTATAAAAAAGAAAACAGACCAAGAGATGGCAATTATGAGAGAGCAGTTGGCGATGTTGATGGTTCGTTTAGGAGGAGATGTGCGCAACTCCACTACTACTACTTCGACACTAGATGCACAAAATGATTATTATGATGATGATAGTGATGCTCATTTGCATGATGATAATTGATAGTATGCATATTTTCTTTTCTTATTTTCATTTGTGAATATTGCTTGTTATCTCAAACATTTGTTATTTTTTATGAATTCATGTAAAAACTTATTGTATTACAATGGTTGGATTTGATTTGATCTTTATTTTCATTTAATATAGCTACTTTATATTTTGTGTCAGTTGGATTTGCTATAAGAATATTATATTATAATTAATATTAGTTTTCAGTAAAAATTAAATTTTTAATGAATATTTGATTTTGAAAAATTAAATTATAAGAATATCTCATTCATGTAATATATTTTCATTTAGGAAAGAAAAATAAAGACAGAAATATATGTCATCAATTGGGATGGAAAACATTATCATTAATACAGATATAAACAATATATTACTAATAGAGAAAAAAAATTCCCTCACTAATAGAGACAGAAACAATCCATCACTAACAGAGAGGGAAAAATATCCAACGCAAATAGATAGGAAAAATATTCGTCACTAACAGAGATGAAATTATCCAACACTAACAAAGACAGAAAATTGTTTGTCACTAACAGAGAAGGGGAAAATCCATCACTAACGGAGACGAACAACTTCCGTCCTTAACAACTTCCGTCTCTAATAGGAACAGATTACACATATTTCACATGCATAAATTTGTGACAGAAAATAATATCATAGGAACGGATTTATCCATCACTATCGGGGAGGGAAATATTTCTGTCTCTAATAGTGACATAATTTTTTCCGTCTCAAATAGAGACGAATTTGTTCCGTCCTAAAATTCGTCTCTATTAGGGACAGATTCATAATTCTGTCTCCACCTGTTAGTGACGAGCCATAATGTAACGGATTTTTGTCCGTCCCTAATTCCGTCACTAATCTACTTAGTGACGGAAATATTTCACTTAGTGACGGAATTATTCTGTATCTAATTGATGTTTTTTTAGTAGTGACTATCTGTCAATCCTCTTTTTTATTCGCGTACCATACATTTTGAACTGGAATTATACTTTGTTCGGGAAAAGGTAGTTCAAAAAGTTGTCTCGGCTCACCATGTCCCAGCTGTTAATCAAATTATTGATGGTCTAACTAAGGTAATTTCTCACTCAAAGTTTATAGAGTTTAGATCCAAGCTCAGTGTTCTCTCAGCCAAGTCCATTAAGCTTGCGGGGGGATAATAGAATATAAACATATGCAGTTGTGTAGTTAAAACTCCTTAACCTCCCTAACAAACTCAAAGTCGTTAGCTAACCATTGTAACCAATTCTTCTGTTATAGTAGATATCTATATATTCATGTGTATCACTTATCTAGATCATATTGTACTTTTCCCTCTCTGAATTTAGAAAGACTTTCTTGATTCTTTCTTTCTTCTCTCGTTTCCTTTCTTCTCTGTTATGCTTTTGATACCTTACAAGATCTTTAAAATTTACTTCTTCACATAATTTAAACGATTATAAAAATAACCTTTATCCATAGCTTTTTATCAGTGTTATTAAACTCGATCCGGGCATCGACCCGGTCGGGATACTGGGTTACTGGTCAAACCAGTGGACCCGGATATATATAGATATATAAAAATATAAACATATAAATTCAATAATATTATCCATATCTAAAATGAATTAAACATGGTTCAATAAATAAACTCAAAAACAAGAAGCATAAATAAATAAAAATGCATGCTATTACTATGTCAATTTTAATTTCATACGCTTAGCACTTTTGGAATACATTTTGTCTTTACAAAACAAAACTAGTATGGAATAATCATAATAATTTTTCAATGACTTGGCAGTACTGTCAACTACACCAAAATTCCTTAGCCACTTGACCTAAACCATGGCGTCAAAGTATGCCATAAATTCAACTTTTACAATGGATGCAATAATTATATATTCTTTCACACTCTTTCATAAGCTAACGTTTTGTGCTAAAAGATATAAATAACCATAAGCGGATTTTACCGTATTCACACAACCATTGAAATCTAAATTTAGGTATGCTATCCCTTTAAGAGTATTAAACCTTATAAAAAAAGCTTGTTATCTTTTGTCTCTTGAAAATATTTCATCAATTTCTTTGCAGTTTTCAAATTACCTAAACGAAAAGTACTCTAGCATCTTTCTATCATTCAAATTTCAAAACTTATATATGGTCGTGTACAAGTTTGAGCATGCATTAAACTTCTAACAAGCGATGAATATGAAATTTGTTCCATTTATTTCTATTCCAAGTAATTATTAAAACATTGCACGAGACTAAATTTGTCCTTTTTCTAAATTGGAACATGAGAATAAACATTTTTTTCAATTTGAAACTTTCTACAACTTTATTAACATGGGATATGATATTATGTTAGATTACAATTTCAATCAATGATAAAGGTTGTGGGGAGAGAGAAATAAACAAAAGGATTTGTTTGACCCTATAAATGTATACCGTTAATTGGTTGAGATTGTAATGTAATGGTTTGGAGAAAAATATTTTTTAAAGGACATAACACAATTATAATATAAAAACAATTTTTGTTTCTTCTCTTCCCTCAATCATTTCATCTGATATGAAGAGAGAAAAAGAGAAATTTTTCGTATTATAACTATGTCTTACTGGTAAGACATAATGTTAAAAAATAAAAGAATACACATTGTGTCCTTAAAAAAGACAGACACTTAACCCTATCATTACTACTCGTTTCCATTATATTTAAAAAAGTTCAGGATTGTTCTGCAACCGTGTAAGTTACACTCTTAATATTGATCATTGATTCCACTAATATCTAGTCTCTAATTTTTAAAAAATATGAATTATTGAATACAAATGGATCAAATGTAAATTTTTTTACTATTAAGAATATTCTGTCAAATTTTTTTTATAATTAATGTAAGGGTTAATCTAATCTAATGTTGCATAAGAGAAGATCTCTCATGTTGTAGACACATATGTGGTGGGACCCACCATCTACAAAAAAAAAGAAAAAAGAAAAGAAAAAGGTTATCACGATTTTCGATAGATCTATTGGAGATAAATTACTCTCATAAGAGTAGTTTTTTTTCTTAGGTAGTGTTTGGTTGAAGATTTATTTTGGGATTGATGAGAAAGTGTAAGTGGATATTGGAAAATACCACGTTTGGTTCAGGTTTTTTTAAAAAATACTAGGCAAATAGGATAGATGGGAAAATAACTTTTGTGTTGATTTTTGGATGAAATTCACTGTTACAGAATACCACTTGAGATGTGGTATTTTGAGATAACTGGGGAAGTGAAAAAACAGGTGCGAAGTTTCTCTCGAATATAGATTTTGCAAATTTAAATAAATTTTCGTGGTAATATTTCGGTCAACCAAACAACATTTTTTACATACCAAACTCACTTTTCAACCATTTCCACAGTAATTACATTTCTCTAGTATTCAAAAAATTCCTCCTTAACCAAACGCCCCCTTAATGTAATATGTATTAAGGAAAATAATTATCTCATGTTGCATGAGATAATTATCTCATGCAACAAAAACAAAGTAGTGAGATCCATATTATTATTTTTTTTTTTTGTACAAACGATAGACTTCGGTTTCTTGTATCAAAGATGAGATTAATAGATCCCATGTATTAAACAATACAAAACGTAATTTTCTTTACCTAGCTCCAATAGTGCTCAAAATATCTGCTGTTGCCACCTGCCAACCGCATATGTTGGAGCAAAAACGGGATTTTAGCTCCAAAACACCCTGAGCATATACAACATAGACCTTGAAAAGAAAGCTTTCCCCTTGAAGAGCGTTCGTTCCTTTGCTTTTAGTCCTTCTATGCACAAGAAAAGCGAATAACGAAAATCTTCTCATCAGCTTAGCTGCAATATGGAACTGTACTGTCGGATCAAAACTCCTTATGTCAGTATTCATCTGCAATTTGATGTGTCTCTCTGCCTTTGCATTGTTTCAGACAGCAGATTCATCCAAAACCAACAGAAACAGCAAATTAAATTCAATTAAAACAAAACCATTAAAAGACAAATGAATATAATAATATCCTATTCACTCTAGTGTTGAACTGTTAACAGACTTGTAGTTAAATAATAAAAAACTTGTTTTTCCCACTTAGAAACCCTATGCTGCTACTACACTTTCCCTCCCTCGAGTGCTATTTCCAAAGCAAAGCAGAAAGACAAAGACCGCAGGTTCTTCACTCTCTCTACCTATCCAGTTGTTACCATTATTTTATTATTTGTGAGCTCTTCTTTTTGCTCTCAACTGTCTTGTCTGACTGTCTTTTCTCAAGTGCTCTAAGGGCTAAGGCTCTCACTGGCTTCAAAACAAACTTTGCAGGCTTTGCTGTCAGAATCTTCTCTCTCTCTCTCTCTCTCTCTGAGGTATCTGCCAAAGATATAAAGGATCCCACAGAGGTCACTGCGAAAGCTTTTTACAAACTTGGTCTTTACACATCCGGCACACCTAACAGAGTTAATTAGCTAAAAGGAACCAAGCTTAATATAACTGTTGCTATTCTCTCTCTCTCTCTCAATGGACTTTCATCTGAAGCAATGGAGAAACCAGCATGAGTCAGCGGAACAACATTCTACAAAGATGCCAAAACTTCTACCTGCAGAATCCCATCAACAGCCAGAGTCATCTGCATCTGCATCTGCTCTTCCTTTGTTTTTACCTGAACCTAACAGCAAAGTCAGCACCCTGTCAGATTCAACATTTGCTACTAACGGATTTCCCAGTAAGATTTTTTTTTTTTTTTTTCCTTTTCTCGTTTGTGACAGAAACTAGGAAAGTTTGGTTACAGAGCTTCTGGCATTTAGTTGCTGCTGCTAACTTTTTGAGTTTGCTATGAGCTAGTTTTACCTTTCTTTCTTTTGGATTCACCAGTTCTTTGGTTCTTACATTTTCTCTTTTTCCCTTTGTGGGGGGGTTGGTACTCGTCTTTTATTATGACTGTTTAGGGATGGGAAGTTATTTCAGCTTGGCTCAGTGGCAGGAGCTTGAGTTGCAGGCTTTGATATTTAGGTACATGTTGGCTGGTACTGCTGTTCCTCATGAGCTTCTTCAACCAATCAAGAAAAGCCTTCTTCATTCCCCTTCATATTTCCTTCATCACCCTCTCCAACATTATCAGCCTGCTTGTAAGTTTCTCTCTCCAATCTATAGTACCTGTTCTTTACTGTCACACACGATTCTCTATATGCTATACAAAAACATATTTTTTTCGTGTTTTATGGTCATTCTACACCCCCCCAAAAACGTCCTTTTTTGTTATTTTTCTCTTTATGCGAGAGTTTCAGTTATTTCGATGATAGTAAAAAAAAAAAAACAATCGAAGTTTACATTCTGGACATGCCTGTTGCATATACGTTACAAGTTACGATGGAAAGTAAAGGCTTGGTTTTTTTTTTGGACATGTTTGTTTGTTTGTGGGATCAGTGTTGCAATCAGGGTATTGGGGAAGAGGAGCCATGGATCCGGAGCCAGGCCGTTGTCGGAGGACCGACGGGAAAAAGTGGCGGTGCTCGAGGGACGTGGTGGTTGGGCAGAAGTACTGCGAGCGGCACATGCATCGCGGTCGAAACCGTTCAAGAAAGCCTGTGGAACTACCCACACCAACTAGTGCCGCTGGTGGTGGATCTCTCGCTGCTTCATCTTCCATTATTTCTTCACAGCCTCTGGCTACTGTCTCGCTGAAATCCCCTTTCGATCTTCTTCACCTTAATGAACGGTAATCTTCCTCTCTCTCTTTCTTTTTCTGTACTTAAAATGACTAGTTAACAAAGATAGCAGCGTAAGCACTAGTTAAGATTTTACTTTGAGCTATAATGAGTACATCTAATAAAAGACAATCAGCGAGTGAGCTTTGCTTTGAAAAAGGGTGACTAAGTGTTATTTCTAGTCGAGCTTGATCTAATTTAGTGGGACATCCTTTGCTTCAACAATTTCTTTATTTCCTTTTCTGTCTATCGTGTTTTAAAAGATTGATTCATTGTCATTCAAAAAGTATGTTTGAATTTGTTTCTTTCCTAGTTGAACCAAATAATTTAAGGAGATATGTTCATCCTTGTGGCTGACTGATTCCTAAATGGGATACGGACCCTTATGGGCATGACCACTATGTCTCATGCTAGGGAAATAAAGCTTAAGATTGTGCCAAATTATCCCCAACCGTGTCTTTTCTAAACTAAATTTAGAAATCATGCTGTCCTTGTATTTCTTCGGTCACATAAGTTTTTTTTTTTTAAATGCCTCTGCTTGATATTTTTGGTGTCTTGATGGCTGGGCCCTATGTAGTTCCTCTGGGACCAAGAATGAAGACAAGGTCTTGGTTGAAAACCAAAACCAAAACCAAGACCATGTGGGTGGGGATGGCAAATCAGGGGGTCAAATGCTGAGGCATTTCTTTGATGATTGGCCACGATCACTGCAACAGACTGACAACGCTGAAAACAATGCTGGCGGGATGAACTCGGCGACATGTCTATCTATTTCAATGCCCGGAAATACTTCGTCGGATGTATCATTGAAATTGTCCACTGGCTACGGAGAGGATCCGTGCCCAAGAAATGGGAATGTGGACCCAGACACAGAACAACTGCAATTGAATTGGGCCGGAGGATGGACTTCGGCTAATCAAGTGGCCTCAATGGGAGGACCACTTGCAGAGGCACTGAGATCATCTACGTCAACTTCATCACCCACTAGTGTTTTGCATCAGTTGCCTCCTAGTTCTGGATCTGAGACTAGCTTCATTAGTACCTAGATTTAGTTAATTAGTTGGTGCTCCAATTATCTTTCCGTTTTTTTTTTTTGGGGTTACTTTCCACTTTTGGAGCATTCTTGGAGAACAGACATGTTTGTAACAATTTTATGGACTACTTTTGTTGTTTCGAACTGGGCCAGGAACCGAGCCTTTATTACATGTGATTAAGTTATAATTGTTGGTTGCCCATTAACATTTTGCTTTACTGGAGCCAATATTTTCATCTAAGTAGATTACTTCATTTCCTGAATTTCGCAAATATTTATTGGGATTAGTATTTCTCATGTAAAAAATAATTTTATTTCTTACATGTAAAAGTGTGGAATTTATATATATATATATTTTTACTTCTTTTCACATGATTCTTCATAGAACTCACAAATATTTTTTGTATGTAAAAGATAAAATCATCTAATAACATGAAAAACATTAATTCTATGTTTATTACCTAGTAACATTCACAATACGTGTTATTACAAATTCGGCACGAAATCACCTGCGAGAGAGTAGCTTAAGCTTAGCTTCCTGCAACCTCTCCAAATCACTTAATGAAAAATCAATATTTGCCACTTGCCCATCGCATGAAAGGAAAGAGACATCCTTTTTTTTTTTTTGGAGTTACCCAACCCTAATTATCTCTTTGAGACGAGTTGGCTCCCTCCGGTATCCCCACGAGCTTCGACTCTTTGAGCCGACTATGTGACTAATCCTTGGATAATGAACATAGTCGCGTTATTAATTTTGTTTTTAAAATAACAGATGGCAAACGGAAGGTACGACCGTTTGTAGTAAGGCAATTAACTTTATTTTTTACTTTTTTACCGTGTACAATTACTTTATTAGCACGGCATAAAAATATACTTTCGTATTGCTACAAACTCAACTTATAAATTTAAATAATACATCTATCGAAGCCTCCCGCATAATTTCCCAGGGTAAAGCCCATCGGAAACTTCTAAATCTTAATTTATTTATACCATGCACTTACGAAGATTGATGGTGCATAGGTACAGTGATTCTAGGTCCGTGGACCGTAGTTTTATTGATTCACATTCCTCAAACGCGATGAGAATTGTGCATGTCAAAACGTTAAACCTTCAAATGTAAAAACAGAAAGCTTGGTGTGCTATACATAACTTACCTAGCAAGGCACATGTACAAAATTTCGACGTTAGTATGCTGCCTCAGTAAAGATTAACTAGCGCTCCACACATTCCACTTTAATTCTGCTCTGCTGTTTAAGTGCCTGTTAAAACCACAGGACGTTGGTTGGCTAGTTTGACTAGGGAGTTACTGCATCCATGCCATTGCGCACTTGTCACAATTATACCAGAAACTTGTCATTAGGCTTCAACTGGCTCTGGTTCAACTTCATCTGCAAGGGCATACACCACTGCTGTTCTAGAAGGGGCATACACGAGAAAGGATCGAGGCCGGTCATCATACCATCCTTCCTGTAAAATCACCCAAGAGAATTCTAAGTGTTTATTTATTCCATTGGGAAAGCCAAAACGGTAAAAAAACGTGTCCGCAAGAATGTAAAAGCACACAAGACACAATGTAAAGCATGTGCACACAAGGACACAAGTTTAGATAAGTCCCATACAGCGGTGAAGTACTCAGCAGTGTGACTGAGTCTACTGAAGCCGCCAAACAAGTCATCATCTGAATCCAAGACAATCTGGAAACAGGAAAAGAATAATCCATTATGCAAGATTAAAATACTCTCAAACCATGGAAAATAAAAAGAGAAAAAAAAAATATCAGTATTGGTAATATTATTGCAAGCATTTGCATTCAGTGTCAGTAGTGGCCTTGAAACAAAAGCAGATGTGCTCTCATGGACAAGTACACCGCCATTTCTGAGAAAATTAACAGATGGGGATACAGACGATGGCACCTGAGCATCCATGACGAAAATGGAGAAAAAATGACTACTTTGAATTTGGGGACCTTTTGCTCATAGATCTTGACTAAACTTTGCTAAACCAAGCTTCAATTAGCTGTCTGTTGGGCTGGTTACTTTGTTGATGATTTGAATTTTGTGGACAGGCGAAGGCACTCTTGCCCAAAGAACACTCAGTAGAATGAGTAGTTACCAACAATGATAGGCTTGATTGCTGGTGACCTTGGTAGTATTACCAACAATGAAATAGAGCAAATGATTTCAATTAATAACTTGCATTTCCCCTTAACATTATGATTGGAATTACTTAATCCACATACTGCACTTTCCTAAATTGGGATCGGAGTTAGAAGACTAACTGTACCAACGATGAAAAGGATGTTTCTCAGGACGAAATAACAGATGGCAGCTATGCATTGTTATAGAGGACTTCTAACGTTACCACTATAGTCTTGCCAGAGTAATAATACACAACAAATACCTTGTATTTCCCCGGGGTTGAGCAGCCAATTCTGTAATCTGAATAGCTGTTGCTCCAATGAAAATTGAAGACAAAGACGAGGTTGCCCCTTTCGAAGACTATAATTTTGTCACCTTCATTTTTCCGTGAAATATATTGGTGCTCAGAAGTCATGAACTGCATCAAAGGCAAATTACAGTTTTTTTTTTTTCATTAACTGCTTCTACCCATGGGGAACAAATCTAGGTTAAATAACATCAGTACTCTATTGAAGAACTATAAAAAATAACAAGTTAAATAACCATGCAGGTAGAGCTTGTCTTGGAAGAAATATAAAATAAAAAAATCTTTCTTCACAGTGTGTCCATTATTACGGTATTCAAAACCATCAAATCACAGTAAAAAATCTTTCCAATAGAGATTTTATTAGGGAAATTCATTGAAAAAAAAAGAAAAGAATACTTACACCAAACCTTTCTTCTAGATGCTGCATGGCTTGATCAAATTCTTGCATCCCCCTATATCTTAGAAACTCTGCATCCCCCTGGTTAAGCAACGGAGAAAATAATTTTTGTAACTTTTGAAATTATTGCCTCGGTAAATTATTCTCTTTTTTTCTAGAGGCCTTAGCAATCTGGGTGGCTGATAATAAGTACAAGTACTTTAACGTTAAATGTAACAATGCAAACAGTAAACAAAGCGTATGTTTTAATAGTTTTTGCCACAAAACTGAGATTCTACTAGGCAACAATTCGTCATAATCATTATTGGTTTTTTTAGTTCTATGAATAAACATCTTGTCCTACCTTGTGATGTATGCTAGTTTCATCTTTCTCATCCATGTGTTTATCTCTAAGTAACTTCATTTGAATTTCATAACATGCAATTTCCAAGATACTGTTGGTATCAGCTATTCAATAGAACAGGAACGTAAATTAAGCACAAGTCTTAAAGGAAGAAAACGATTCACTATTAATATCTGATTACAGAGTTTTCCAGAACAATAAGTAAAAAGGCAACAGAGAGCTACCCGATTGGAAAATACAAAGGACAAAGACAGATTCAACACCACTACCCACACCCACTGGTAACGGCTACCTCCCAACAACACTCCTCCTTTTAGTGAAAATACTCCATATCCTTCCCCCCACTCCTAACTACCTTATATCTTACTTTTTCCTTTCCGAATCTGCCTTTCCACTACCTTGCATATTTTCCTCGCCATTCATAGTCTGCCACGCAGCCTCTTTTGTAATCAACTGCTCTCCCAGATTCTCCTTTGCCATCAACTCTCTATTCCGTACATGGGCTTTTCGCCCCCTATTATATACCTTCTTAAAGGGCTCTAGTGGTATGAGACCCATCAACACATCACCAACTAAAATGCACTTGCAATACCTAGTCATATAGGCTAGTTTCTTCGTTACTCCATTTTTTTCAACAGTTCAAATATATCATCCTTCTTCAGCAACTCCAATTCTAAAATCCCATAGCAATTTTCAAGAAAGAAGAAACGTGCATATACTACATTTCAATGGAAGTGGCATCCGTGTTGCTTCTGTAATTTAGGTTTGTTAAGAAAACTAGAACAATCAACATTAGCAAAGAAGATGCAGAAAGAGATCACACTTCTTCCATAACCGTTGCTTATCCTCATACCGAAGACAATATAAGCAGAGAAGATAAAAGACTTATATCCCACAGGAAGATTAGCTAACTGTCATCGTCAAAGTAAGTAAAAGTTCAAAGTCCTACAAAAGATATTCAAAAGCCCAAGCATATTTATATCCTACATCATGAATTTTAAAGAAAAATAAATCTAAATAGAAATACTAAGCCCTGCTGGATGATGTAATTTGTTTTCTTAATATATCATGGTCTAGCTTCAACATGGCCAGAGATTTAATTTGAACCCCAAACGAAGAAATATCATCAATTAAATTAGCCAATCCGAAGGATACATGAGTGAAGGACCATTATAAAGTAAATAATCTTTGCAAAATAAAGTTATTTTCTGATAAAATTGTTTGTAATAATCTAAGGGTTTGCTGTCCTAATCACAAGATCAATCACATATACACAGGTTAATTGGCCATGGATAGCTTATTATGCATTCTTTAGTTCCTTTCACAACTAGTATTTTTATGATTTTATCCTTATAACCACCGGTAAGAATAAGGATCAAGAAAGAAAATGTTACATGGCACTCATTCTTCTAATCTTCTTCAAACATGTATACAAATGATATCTTCAGCAAGAATTGAAAAGAAGATTTGTATATTATTGAATTGTATGAATAACAGTACAATAATTCTCTATTTAAAGAGACTAAAAAATCTAATGGACTAAGTCCAAATAAGCTTCTAGAATATTGTAACTATTACAAAATAATGATACAAAACAATAATCAAATAATTCTAATATTTACAATAGCAAGTTTTATAATTCATCCGTAAAAAGATAAACACATTTCACCACAAAGAAGTGCTCAAAAAACTGAAACCCCATAACATAAACAGTGGGAACATAAAGTAGTAATTACACAGGTCATGAATGAAGGAACCAGGAACTTACCAAGTCAAATCTACGCCTGCATTTATCATAACTGAATTTATTCCCGGGAACTACTGTGCCATTAGGAAGATGTTGATCACCCCTTGGAAAATCAATCCACTCTGAACAGAACAATGAATGAGCAACATAACATTAACTTAATAACATCAAATTCAATAATTGATCAAGTCATTATTGAATCTAAGGACAAGAAGCAAGTCACATATGCTTACCAGGATGGCCAAATTCATTCCCCATAAAATTCAAATACCCTTCACCACCAAGGCCCATGGTAATAAGCCTAATCATTTTGTGTAATGCTATACCACGATCAATAAGAGGAGTAGATGGTCTGTCTAAAGCCATGAAGTCATACATATCCTGAAGCAGCCAACAGAATAAAAGTCAAATGTAAATGTCCAATGCCAAACTGCAGTAATACACACTTACAAAACAAAAACAAGTGTCCTTAATGATTAAACAGAAGCGCAGTAAGAAAAAAAAGAATTCAAGAAACAGTCAGAGAATTGAGGGATGCCATATAAGATTCTGTAGCAATTTGGGACAAGACGTCTCTATGATTTTCTTGCTGGCCTTAATCGTGACCTTGATGATGTTCGTGGAAGGATATTGGGACAGAACCCGTTACCTTCCATTGCAACTGCTTTTTCTATGGTACGACGGGAGGAACTTCGCCGAAAGGTAATGTTGGGAGACAAGAACTCTAAATCCTTCGATGTATCTGCCCTAGTAGCAAAACATACTCCTCGTCCCCCTAGTGATGCAAAACGTTCTGACCGATGGTGTTCTCATTGCAATAAGAGTGGTCACACTCGCGTAAAATGTTGGGAAATTCATGGAAAACCACCAAACTGGAAAACAAAGGGGCTGAACAAGAGTCGTGCTTATCAAATCTCTTCTGATGATAAGGGTGAGGAGTCTCGTGCCTTTCCAAACTCCGATGGTGTATTCATCCCAAAAGCTCAGTATGAGCAATTCCAGAAGGTGATGTCTCAATCTGCTGAGGTCACTAGTCATGTTGCTCAACAAGGTATGGCATTCCATGTTGATCGTATTAGTCGTTGGATTCTTGATTCAGGAGCCTCTGATCATATGACAGGTAATGCATCCTTGTTTTGTTCTTATACCCCTTATTATCACCCGTCACGAATAAGGACTGTTGATGGTAGTTTCTCTAATATTGCGGGAAAGGGATCCATTAAGCTCTCTGATCATATTACTCTGAACTCTGTCCTTCATGTCCCTTCTCTTACTTGTAACCTTATCTCTATCAGTAAACTTTCCTCTGAATTGCATTGTGTTGCTAAATTCTCTGCCAAAACCTGTGTTTTTCAGGAACAGGATTCGGGGCTGATGATTGGCAGTGCTAGAGAGGAAGAAGGACTTTACTATTTTGAAGAAGATTCTCATGAAAAGAGAATTTTTGCAAATCACTCTTTATGTTTATCAGACGATTGTAATGATGTTTTGTTGTGGCATCGTCGTTTAGGACACCCAAATTTCTTTTATCTTCAAAAGTTGTTTCCAAACTTATTTATCAATAAAAAACCAAGTTCCTTTTTTTGTGATGATTGTCAGTTTGCAAAACACTCTCGTGTTTCTTATTCCCTCAGAGATTATAATGTTTCGTCTCCATTTACATTGATCCATAGTGATATTTGGGGGCCAGCTCGTGAAAAAAATATATCTGGAACTCGTTGGTTTATTACTTTCATTGATGATCATTCTAGAGTATGCTGGGTATATCTTCTAAAGGATAAGTCTGAAGCTGCAGCCACTTTTAAAAACTTTCATGCTATGGTACGAACTCAATTCCAGACCTCTATCCAAATCCTGCGAACTGACAACGGTACTGAATATTTTAATTCAGTTCTTGGGGATTACCTAACCAAGCAAGGTATTATCCATCAAAGTTCTTGTCCTAACACCCCTCAACAAAATGGGGTGGCCGAAAGAAAAAATAGACATCTCATTGAAGTTGCTAGAGCCCTCTTTTTTACGATGCATGTCCCTAAATACCTATGGGGGGAGGCTGTATTGACTGCCTCATATCTCATTAATCGGATGCCCTCTCGTGTCCTGAATTTTCATTCTCCCATATCTTGCCTTACCCGTTTTTTCCCCTCCTTTCGGGCTTTCTCTTCCTTTCCTCCAAAGTTGTTTGGCTGTGTGGCTTTTGTTCACATTCCTCCACATCAAAGGTCAAAACTTGATCCTAAGTCTGTTAGATATGTCTTCATAGGATATCCTCCTAATCAAAAAGGGTACAAATGCTACTCACCTTCTCTTCGAAAGGTCTTTGTTTCTATGGATGTTACCTTTTATGAAACACAATCATTTTTTCCTTCGACTTCTCTTCAGGGGGAGTCTATTGGTGTAAATGAAGACAAGTCTTGGATTCCAAATAATTCTACTGTCTTACCTTTATCCTTGGAAACAAGTGTTGTTTCTTTACCTATGGAGATAGGGGGAGTTAATGTACAGGAGAAAAGGACAACAATTGTACCAGAGACTGAAGATCCTCCCGGTAAATGGGGAAAATTCTACAGCAGGCGTAAATCTCCTCAAGATCCTCTAGACTGCCAGAGTTCTGACCCGAGTCCTAGTTCCAGCAATCCACTTGAGAACACCGGTACATTTGACCTAGATATGCCCATTGCCCTTCGAAAAGGTACTAGATCTTGCACTGCTCATCCTATTTCTCATCACATTTCATATGAAAAGTTATCTCCAGGTTTTCGTGCTTTCAACACTATATTAGACAGTACAAAAATACCAAAAAATATCCAAGAGGCACTTAATGACCCTAAATGGAGGGATGCAGTTTTTGAAGAAATGGATGCACTTAACAAAAATGGAACTTGGGAATCCGTGGCACTTCCCAGAGGAAAGAAAACTGTAGGTTGCAAATGGGTGTTCACAATAAAATTTAATGCAGATAACAACATCAACAAATATAAGGCCAGATTGGTTGCCAAAGGATTTACTCAGACTTATGGGATAGACTATCAGGAGACGTTTGCTCCCGTTGCCAAACTTAACTCTATCCGAGTCCTACTATCACTTGCTGCCAACCTTGATTGACCCTTGCATCAATTGGACGTAAAGAATGCCTTCTTAAATGGGGACTTACATGAGGAAGTTTACATGGATCCACCACCTGGTTTTGAAGAGGGAGATGGTTCAGTATGCAAGTTGAAGAAGTCTCTTTATGGACTTAAACAATCCCCTAGAGAGTGGTTTGAAAAGTTTACTCGTTTTGTTAAAGAAAGAGGATTTGTCCAAGCTCAGACTGATCACATTTTATTTTTTAAACACTCCGATAGTGGCAAAATTGCTATCCTCATTGTTTATGTTGATGACATAATTGTCACTGGTGATGACTGGGAGGAAATAAAATCTTTAAAGGGGGGTTTAGCTAATCAGTTTGAACTGAAGGATCTTGGATCACTCAAATATTTCCTTGGAATGGAAGTTGCTCGTAGCAAGGCCGGAATTTCCTTATCTCAGAAGAAATATATCCTAGACCTGCTACAAGAAACAGGTATGCTCGGGTGCAAGCCAGTAGAAACTCCTGTTGAACCCAATATTAAATTGGGAATTGAAGATGGAAAAGATGTTGACAGGGAGCAGTACCAAAGGTTGGTAGGGAAGCTGATCTACTTATCTCACACTCGGCCTGATATTGCATTTGCAGTTGGCATGGTTAGCCAATTCATGCATTCTCCTAAGGAAAAACACCTTAGTGCGGTTTATAGAATCCTCAAGTACCTCAAAAACACCCCTGGTCGAGGAATGCTCTTTAAAAGGGGACACAAGAGGATGATAGAAATCTATACAGATGCTGATTGGGCTGGCTCTGCAATGGACCGAAGATCCACTTCAGGATATTGTACTTATGTCTGGGGAAATCTTGTGACCTGGAGAAGTAAGAAACAAACTGTTGTTGCCAGAAGCAGTGCAGAAGCAGAATTTCGGGCGCTAGCCCATGGCATTTGTGAAAGAATCTGGTTAAGAAGACTCCTTGAAGAGTTAAAGATATCTTATTCTCTACCTGTCAGACTCTATTGTGATAATCAGGCTGCAGTCAGTATTGCTCAAAATCCTGTACATCATGATAGAACCAAACATGTGGAGGTTAATCGTCATTTTATTAAAGAAAAATTAGAGGAGGGTAGTGTATGTTTGTCATATATACCTACCAAGGAGCAAACAGCCGACATTCTCACCAAAGGATTACATAAACCCATCTTTGAGGATTTAATTAGCAAGTTGGGAATGATCAATATATATCTCCCAACTTGAGGGGGAGTGTAGAATATTCTAGAGTCTTTTACTTGTTTCTAGCTACTAGTATCTTTGAATAGTGTGCTGCCTCTTCGGTTACTGTGTATTTTATTTATTACTTCATCTCCTTAACTACCTTGTAATATGTATAAATAGAACCCTTTGGGGTGTCAATCAATATATGAAAAAATACATTTCAGTCTTATATTTCAATAGATTCTTCTAAGCTGCAACACTCATCTTCATAATCACAGAAGCTGATTGCAAATGCATGAGAGAATTTTCCACAAGATTTATAATAGTCAAGCAATTCTTTGCTTATGTATGTGCTGAAAATAAGAACTTCATTGCAGCATGCAGTTTCAAATGGATGAAACTCAACTCCCAATCTCTTCGAAGAAAATAAAAGTGATAGCTAAATCCAAAACAAGCTCTTTTAACATAATTGAGAAACACAATATACTCAAAAGCTAAATACCTTGTCCATCAACCAAAATGCAATTGTTTTATCACCAACCAAGGCTTGGTCATGACTTTCAGCATAAGACACACACTTTTCCAGCCACCTTCTGTTAGTTAGTGTGTGGACTATATCACCCATTCTCCAGTCTTCATCTTTCTTCCTACACAAAAAGGACAAGGCTGAAATTAACATGATTTTCTTTTCACACTACTAAAAAAACAGTCAGAATTAAGAACAATGGCCTATGGAGGTGAAATGAGAGGAAGGGTTTTTTGAAAGGGTTTGTGATTTGAATAACAACTTGCAACCAAAGGGACACAATTAGATGTAGGCTTCCATTGACACTTACAATGTTGAGACAGAAAATGTTGCACTTGCATCTATCTAGATGCCAAGAATTCGCTAACTCTAACAAGCTTAGTAAAAGTGAAGGACTAACTTCAATATAGTATATCCAAACACAGAATTATTCTTCATTTAGACATAGATGACTGCTTACATTTTGGAGGCTAGGTGAGTTAAGAATAATAACAATTTAGCATCCCTTTGAAGCTGGCATCTCAGAGCCCCACTTTCCAAAGGACTACCGTATTCTATATGCATGCTAATAACTGATGAGAAGAAAAAAATGTCGTATTTGATTTGCTTATATACTATTGAACATTAGATTGATACTATTTTTTGGGCCTATTGATGTGGAATAGAGATGCATTTATTAGGATTTTATGTTTAATTAATATTTATCTAGGATTTTATGTTTAATTAATATTTATCTAGGATTTTATATTTGATGTAGAAAGACAGAACAATTAAGCCAGAGTGCTCCTCTAGGGCAAACTACTCCTTTGACTTGGGTTTCAGATACTCAATATTATTAATTATGCCAAAAGGTCTGAATAACATTCGGCACTTACGGGTATTTATAATGCAAAGATAATAAAAATCTCAGATAAATCTTAATTCTAATCAAATATAAAATTCTACATAAATCCTAATTAAATGTAAAATCCTAGATAGATCCCAATTAAATATAAAATCCTAATATTCTCCATTCTGCATCACCAATTCTCATTGGGTTCAACCTAAAAGCATATCCAATAATATACAAGGGATTGAATACCTATGAGCCCATTTATAACATTTTTTTTGGATCATTCTTTTGTTATTTTTATCACACTGCAGCACTATGGGGCTCTTTCAGGATTACATATATGGGGTCAAACTTTCATAATAAATTGTTAGAGAAATATAAAATTATTAATGTAGCCTCATCCAACAACTTAAGATTTTGGGTTGAATTGGTTCTTTACATGGTATCTGTTAGAAAAGTATATAAACCATTGATGGACCTTCACTTAACAGTTTAAGCTTTTGGGTGAAATGGTTCTTTATATGGTATCAGAGCTCGTGTCCCAGGTTCGACCAGGTTCGATCCTCACTGCCTCCACTTTCTCTTGTTGAATTTCTTAGCACAGGTAGGTGGGCCTGTGCATTGTCCACCCTTCAAGCCCATTGGGCTCTCATGTGAGGGGAAGTGTTAAAGAAGTATATAAACCATTGATGGACCTTCACTTAACAGCTTAAGCTTTTGGGTGAAATGGTTCTTTACAGTATCAAAGCCAATATGACTAAGTGGTCATGAGTTCAATTCTCATCGCCTCTATTTTATTAAAAATAATAATTAAATACTATGGAATTTTTTAGCAAAGGTAGGCTGAGCCTGATGCATCATCCACCTTTCAAGCTGAATGGGCTCTCGTGTCGGGGGACGTGTTAGAGAAATATATAACCATTAATATAGCCTGGAGCAGTGGTAAAACTGTTCCTTTGTGACTAAAAGATCATGAGTTTAGATCCGGGAAACAGCCTCTTTGTAATTATGTAAGGGTAAGACTGTGTACAAGAATTTCCCTCACCCCACCCTCGCCCTCGCTAGTCGGGCTTTATTGGGAAGTGGTTTAATATAACCTCACATAACACCTTAAACTTTTGGGTTGAAATGGTTCTTTACGGAAGTCTACTTTATGCAAATGTCTCATATTTTATGTATAACTATCTACAACCAGGACTATTTAAAAGAAAACATAATATGCTGCATTCGTGCTCCAGAATAAAAACAAAAGGTTACTTGAGAAGCTCAATCCACTTGTCTGCAATAGCCATCTGCAGACGATAATCAAAGCCAACCCCACCATCTTGTGTAGGAAGGCAGAATGTCGGCATTCCACTGACCTGGAAATGGAAAGAAAATTGTAACATCAACACTGCATTGTCTTTTAGTTTTTTACTACATTTATTGAACCATCTATACACTTGACCATGGAGTCTCAATAAAATTTGAGAGAGGACAACGCCTAACATAGGTTGAATGAGGTGTAACAGAAGTAACACAATTTCAAACTCTTGAAAGGACAACATACATCTTCACCAATTGCAACAGACTCGGGAAAGAGCCCATGAATGACATCATTAACCAGCATCAGGTAAACCACAGCATCGACATCAGTAGCAAAACCAAAATACTCGCTGTAATTTCCAGTAAAAGCTACCTGCAGCAAGATTCAATATTTAAAAAAAAAAAAGGAAGAACAAAAGAAAGTGAACAGTTGAGAAAGAATCCTATCTCTGACTGAAATGGAACCCTTTTCTTCAAAGGGAAACCTCTGCAATGTTCTGAAAAATACATAATGGTATTTAAAATTTCACCCCTTTTATTGAAGTTGAGCATGGGTGAAGAACAGAGAGGTTGAAGAGCTCTGAGAGAGAGTGCAAGAGAAAGAGAAAGAGAAAGAGAAAGAGAAGTGAAGTTCTAAAACTTAAACTGAAATTGTGCTGTCTATGTTGCTGGTACATTGAACTAAATATTTGTAGATCCAGAATGTAATCTAGAATCTGGAATAGGTATAACTGATTCTGTTAGCATTTCTGTTGATGATAATGATATGTGAACCATGAAATCAGATTTGTGTTGATCATTATTTGTGTTTCTGTTTCTTTTGTTAATTAGAATTCTGACAATTAGTTAGATTTGTTTTAAGTTAGTTTTTTATCACTCTGTTTGAAGTTTGTTTAGTTAGTTAAGCTTGTTTTATCAGTTTGTTGATTAGGATTTCTGTTTCCTAGTTTTTAGAACTTGATCTTATCTTTTGAAGATATGATGACTAAGTCTGTTGTGAAGTTGTCTATCATATATCTTTGTACCCATCATCGAGAGATGATGATTGAGAGAAAATAAAATAGTTCTCAGGTTCTAAATTTCTTTAATTTCTATCAGTCAGCTAGAAACTGTTAGGGTTAGTTATACAAGTACAATGGTTAGGAGACTATTTGGAATTCAGACCAAACAGATTCTGATCCTAAGTTAGACTAACAGTCCTGACAGGACTTATTCTCTGACAACTTTATTCTTCACTTGGCAATCCAACGATCCTTGATGACCAAGTACAAACACAGCCATAGTAGTTAATTGCGCCGCAATAGCGCCGCGAGCCGTGCCGTATGGGCGTTGCGGTGCCTCACCGCAAGAAACCGCGTCGCGCCGTATCGGAACGCAATAGCGGCCACTGCGATCGCATTTGCGGCCATATTACTGTCATAAGGCAAAATGTCAATTTTGTCCTAAATTTAAATGTGTAACATAAAAAATTTAAGGGTTTTTTAGCCTATCCGCGTCTCTCTCTGTCACTTCTGCTATCTCTGCCTTTAAAAAATGTTTCTTTTTGTCATTATTTCTGTCATATATCTATTTCGCTATTTCCGCAACCGCAACCCGCTATAACGCTATAGCGTTTTTCGGAGTTGGCCGCGACATGCCGCAATCCGCATTTGATAACTATGAACACAGCCAAGTTATCTTATAATACCAAGATCAAGAATTTAAAGGTCAATCACAAAAACCAATTAGAATGTACCGCCAGTCCATGATGAGTGTACATCATTGATGTGACACCATCAAATCGAAACCCATCAAATTTGTACTCATCCAGCCACCATCTTGCATTTGAAAGTAGATACCTTAGAACCTAAATTAAGAATTAAAGTCACTTACTATTGACCAGAAGGTATAGAAGAATCAAGATAACTATGTCAATGAATTCTGTGAAGACAGCACTTACTTCCCAGCTTCCATAGTTAAAAAGGCGAGAATCCCACATCCAATGATAACCCCGTGACCCAGGATGGAAGTAATGACCATCAGTTCCATCAAACATGTTCAGCCCATCCAATGTATTGTTTGATGCATGGCTACATTCATGAGATATTGGTAATCAAGTCTAAGGAGCAGCTTAAAAAACCATCGATAAATCCTTGCATGTAATATCATTCATGTAATGATAATTGAAGACAAGGTTGAAAAATAAGAACTAGAGATACTGCCAAAAAAATGAAAAGTAATAGCATATAAAGTATTATCATTACCTGTGTACAATATCCATCAAAACAAGCAGACCTAGCTCATGGGCTCTGTCTATTAGAGACTTAAGTTCATCAGGAGTTCCAAACCGGCTGCTAGGTGCAAAGAAATTTGTAACATGATACCTGTATCATGCAGAAAAATATTTTTACAATCAGGCCATCAATTTTAGGAGGAAAACACTAACGCACTGAGAACAAGAAATGTAGCACACAAATCTGCCTGTTATTCTTTGAATCACATTAGAACTATTAGCAATTTGGGAGAGGGAATACAAATTAATGACAACATTGGATAGGCACTCAAGAAGAGTTACCCAAAGCTAGCATAATAAGAATGCTCTTGGATAGCCATAATCTGGACAGCATTATAGCCAAGCCTTTTAATCCGAGGTAGTACATCATCTCTAAAATTGGTATATGTGTTGATTTTTGGCTCCTGCACCACAAGGTTGACAACACTGTTAATAATAGAAAAAGAATTGAAACTCTAAATAGGCACTTTTTGAACTTCGTAGATTTAATCTCTAATATTATGCAAAATATTCTATTACTTAAATTCGATTGATGTTGATTGTATGAATGAGACCAATGTCCTTGTTAGAAATAATATAATAGCATTGTATTATTTATTATTCTGTTATTCTAGCAGGTTATTTGGGCTTGGCCCATTAGGTCATTTAACCTCTTTAAATAGAGATCTTTTGTACAGTTCTATACACAATTGAATACAATACATTCATACATTCTAATTTGGTACCAGAGCTCTTTGTTCTGAGAATTTTCGCTTCCGCTAAAACCCTAAGCCCACTGCTTAGGCGTTCTCTCCTTCCTCTAACGCCGTGCGTCCCTCCGGCTTGGTTCTACACTGTTCACGCGTCTTTAAAAAAAAAAACTATTGTTCACCGCGTTCGTATAGTCCTTACGGTTCCACTGTTCATAGCGTCCGTACATATTCACTATTCATCGTCCGTACAGATTCACTGTTCATCGTCAGTACAGGCACTGTTCACGCAAAATAAAAATAAAAATTCGGCCATTCCGAGACAGAACAGCTCGCCTTCCTCTCCTATTTTCAAATCTGGTCATCTCCTTTGTTTTATTTTGTGATGGAGGGCTCAAGTAATACGTCCAAAAACACGACTGGCATCATCTCCAGTACTACCCCATCTCCATTCTTTTCTCGGGCCAGTGATTCCAATTGGAACAGTGGACGCGGTCGCGGATGTGGCCGCAGACAGAGGTATCGTTGCAATTATTGCCAGAATCTTGGGCATTTTGAAGAACGCTGCTATAAGAAATACCCTCATTTGAAGCCACTGATTGCCAACTTTGCTCAAATTGATGCTACATCACCTTCTACTGGATTAGTAACTCTTTCAAGTGCCGACTATGAGGCACTTCTCAAGAAGGTTTCTTCTCAGCATCCTACTCAAGACACTGGTAATCATGTTGCTTGTTTTTATCAATCATTTCTTGGACCCTGGATAATAGACTTAGGTGCTACTCATCATCTTTGTGGTGATAAAGATCTCTTCACTTCACTTTCTTATTCTGAGAACCTGCCCAGTCAACATCTGAATAGCTAAATACCTTTGCATTCCCTTTATTTGTGTATAATAAACCTTTTCCTGGTGCTCTTTTGATATATCGAAGAATCCTGATAACTGCATCCCAATAGGAGTCACAAGGAGAATCTCAAGCATTATATTGTCTCGGCTGATGTCACTTTTCTTGATCAACAACCTTTTCATTCTATCTCATCTCAGATAACACAAGTTGATCAAGTTCTTCCTGTTTCTTGTCTTGATTTGTCTTTACCAGTTGCAGGAGACTTTATCTCGGAGGAGCAGCCCCTTGCCTCTATCCCTGAGGACCGTCCTTTTCTCACCTATCAGCGTCGTCAGACGGTGCCTCCAGCGGATTTGACCCTTACTGACTCACTGCCTGCTGCTGTCGACTCTTCCCCTCCGGATCCTCCATCAGAAATTACTCCCATTGCCCTTCGCAAAGGTATTCAATTCACTCGTAACCCTCATCCTCTTTATAGTTTCTTGAGTTATGATAGACTTTCTTCACCACATTTTACTTTTGCTTATAGTATTTCGTCTATTTCTATTCCTAAAACCACAGGTGAAGCACTCTCTCATCCGAGTTGGCGTCAAGCAATGATTGATGAAATGCAAGCACTTCACTCCAATGGCACATGAGATCTTGTTCATGCTACTCCTGAAAAGTCAGTTGTCGGTTGTCGATGGGTATTCACGGTCAAAGTTGGTCCTGATGGCACTGTTGATCGCCTCAAAGCTCGTTTGGTGGCCAAGGGATACACTCAGATATTTGGTCTTGACTATGAGGATATTTTTTCTCCTGTTGCCAAGATGGCATCTGTTCGCTTATTTCTTGCACTTGCTGCCATTCATCAATGGCCTCTTCTGCAGCTTGATATCAAAAATGCATTCTTACATGGTGACTTGCAAGAGGAAGTATATATGGAGCAACCACCAGGTTTTGTTGCTCAGTGGGAGAATTCTGGAATGGTATGTAAGCTTTGTAAATCTTTATATGGCCTGAAGCAGTCCCCTCGGGCTTGGTTTAGTCGCTTTAGTTTTGCTGTTCAATCCTTTGGCTTAACCAGAAGTAAAGTCGATCATTCTGTCTTCTATAGGCATAGCTCTTATGGCCAGTGCATCTATCTCCTGGTCTATGTTGATGACATCATTATTACTGGCAGCGATCAAGTTGGGATTGATCAGTTAAAGAAGTACTTATTCAATCAGTTTTAGACCAAAGATCTTGGCAGACTTCGATATTTCTTAGGGATCGAAGTGGCACAGTCTAGGCAGGGCATCTCCATTTCTCAGAGGAAGTATGCACTGGATATCCTAGATGAGACTGGTATGTTGGGATGTAAACCTATTGATACACCTATGGATCCTAATGTTAAGCTGTTACCCGGACAGGGGGAGCCATTGGCAGACCCTGGTCGTTATCGTCCATTAGTTGGAAAGTTGAATTATCTTTCTGTGACAAGACCAGACATCTCTTTTGCAGTTAGTGTGGCAAGTCAATTCCTTGACTCTCCTTGTGACTCCCATTGGGATGCAGTTATCAGGATTCTTCGATATATCAAAAGAGCACCAGGAAAAAGTTTATTATACACAAATAAAGGGAATGCAAAGGTATCTAGCTATTCAGATGCTGACTGGGCAGGTTCTCCTTCAGACAGACGATCTACCTCGGGATATTGTGTTCTCCTTGGAGGAAACTTGATCTCATGGAAAAGTAAGAAGCAAACTGTGGTCGCAAGGTCAAGTGCAGAGGCAGAATATCGGGCAATGGGAAATGCAACATGTGAGCTCATCTGGCTAAAACAATTGCTTAAGGAACTACATCTCTGAGAGGTCCCCGAATAGATCATATATGTAACAAGCTGGGAGCTTATGATATATACGCACTAGCTTGAGGGGGAGTGTTAGAAATAATATAATAGCATTCTATTATTTATTATTCTGTTATTCTACCAGGTTATTTGGGCTTGGCCCATTAGGTCATTTAACCTCTTTAAATAGAGGTCTTTTGTACAGTTCTATACACAATTGAATACAATACATTCATACATTCTAATTGTCCTCATTGCAAAGAAATCATTCAATAATTGTTTTCTTTTACAAAATCTGAAGCCTTGTTGCATGTAACAACTAATGCCTTTCACTTAGCATTTATTGAACAAGTGAGTAATCAGCTCTACTAGCATTGCTTTTGTGAACGGTAAGCTAACTTCATTTTATGGCAAAGATCAAAGAAATAATATCAGAACAAGTATCCCTTTGCAGTTTGACATTTCTAGATAGATTAATGATTTCTTTGAGAACACCAAATCAAAACGGAATCCTCTGAATGTTATTAGGTCAGCCTAGTCACACATTCCCAAGTATATTTGTCTGCTTGGTAGTGCAACCTCTAAAGCTACCCAAGCAAAGATAACCATTATTGATGGGAATCAGTTCATATCTAACAAGGGAGATTGTATTAATGCTGATAGTTAGAGGAAAATACAGAGCCGTAAGAGCAATGCTCCCAGCAAAGGAAACTTCCTATGGCCCCAAGGTATAAGCTGCGAAAACTAAAAACGTCTCCTTCCCTTTGTTACACTGTCCTATTTGTATCAGATCATCTTTTTCTCCCTCTCTTTGTTAGAATAACTAGAATATCTTGAAGATATCATATGATAATTTGATTATATCATAATATAGTTAGAGTATCTTAGAGGATCCCTTACGATTAGTTTTCCTATTTCCTTATATTTCATGATTTGTTTCCTTATTTTAGGAGTCTCCATTTTCTTTTTTTAACCATTAGGTACCCATTCGCACAACAGGCGTTGACTAATATGAATAAAAGCCAGGCAGGATCGGAGGCAAAGTTCTCCCTACTAAACCTTTAATATAAATAAGGATTAGTACTTTGTCTTTCGTATCACATTACACCACTTCATATCAAATGAATATACAATATTATTCAATCTTCCCTTTTTCTCCATCTATGCCTAAATCCCTATACTTTCAATATGGGATTAGAGCGATACCATCCTTCGTGACCTATCCTGTCACTTTTCCACGGCCAAGTTCCCTAAAATCCAGAACTCTACATCAATTATTTTTCAGTTAACCTTCTCTCAGCAGTCTATTGTCTTCTGCCGCATCTCAGGTCACGTTCATTGTTAGCCACTATCAACTATCATCAGAACACCGTCATGCCCAGCCAGCAATCCAACATGCCCAAAATATTTCCTCATTTGATTTACATCACATTCAGGGGCAGTGGCCGCCCCCCTAAAATTTGAAGAGTTTTTTTTTAATGAGGTTATGTCTCTGTGAACTATCATCGAGAAGTGAAGGTACTCCATTGCCAACGCTGTTTGCAGAGAAATATCGAGGTTCCGTTTAAGCTTCTTGCCATGGAGGTGATATGATAAGGTTCCGTTTGAGACATAGTCATAAACCAAGAGCAACCTTAAATTTATTTTCACACCCCCCCCCCCCCCCCCCAAAAAAAAAAGAAAAAATCCTGAGGGTATAAATTTGTTAATTGCAGTTTGGCCCCGTCGAATTTTTCAGATGTACACTATCAGTGACCGCCTCTTTCGTCGTCCTAGTGTGAAGTGCTGCCTTTTCTTTAATTTGTTAGCTTTGTTTCACAATTGTTTTCCTCATTCACTTTGTGAGCATTTTTCTCAATTGTCACCATGGCTAAGGATGACAATGACAACAAAATCTTAAATTCACAAATCATTGTTTCCCTTTCTATGCCTATTAATTGGACAATACATGCTGAGGGCGAAGAATAAATTAGGATTCGTCAATGGATCCATTTTTTTATTAAAGCATTTGACAAGAAACAATTTGATTTTCTTGTTCGTAAGTTAGGCATTTGTTGCCCCCCATACTTCAACTTGATGGAGAGTATTAGGGATGCAGATAAGGATGTTGTTTCCCTTCTAATTGCTATTAGTCTAAGGCCTACCAGTGTAAACTTGTAAGGCCCTCCTGGGCCCAACCTAAACCATGTTTGCATCTATGATTCTATCAATTAACTGCAGTGGCTTCTAAGAGAGTAATCAAAATCTCTCAGATTTTAGAAATATAATATGATAGATACTCACCCATTAGTAGGATGCACAATAAAAAAGAAGCCGATACAGGCATAGCAATCAACAAGGGGGCTCTTAGTAATCAACAACTCACTCACAGAGTTAATGAGGAAACTAGGAATTGACAAGGAGGCTCCAACTCTAACCACCCGCCTACATGGAAGAAGGGTCACAAGGAAAAGAGAGAATTGGTTAGGAGATTAGGTGGGAAAGGTAAGAATAAAAGTGAAGGGAGAAGGAGGGAGGCAAGCAAGGATTGAGGTGGATATGGGCTGGGATGAAACAGGTCACTCAAAGAACCTACATTATCTATCTTTTTTCTTCCGTGTCTGTTATTTTCGTCTCAATTTCCTTGATTTTAGGGTTTTATTCCCGGTTTCTATAAGAGGTTTCCATCATAATATACTACGAAAATGTTTAGTCCTTGATTATCAAACTTTCCATGTAATAGATCATTAACTTCATAGTAAGGCAACCAGCAAAATGATTACTGACCAATATCACAATAGAGAAAGTAAAAAATGCTCACCGGACTACTCATTCCGACGTGTGACTCATATATTCTAAGTGATTTTGGTCTCTTTGGCTGTGGATGTTTGAAGACATATTTTTCCTGTAAAAAGAGAAAAATAATACCATTTAACACAGTAGTACATGACAGAAAATCAAATATATGAAGTCAATGATTAAGTAATATCGCATGCTATATTGAATTGTACCTAAAGTTTAAATAGATAACTGGAAATTACTGTCACCAATAAATAATTATTTTCATTTGATATACTAATATTTTTTCGAGAGCGAGTCTTGGAGCAACGGTAAGGTTGCTGCTTGTGACCGAAAGGTCATAGGTTCGAGTCCGGAAAACAACCTATTTGCAAAAATGCAAGGGTAAGACTGTATATAATTGACCCTTACTCCTACCCTCACTAGTAGGGGAGCCTTGTGCGCTAGAATTTGTCCTTTGCCCTTTATACTTATATTTTAACAGAGCTACTTCCATACTATTCTGTATTCTGCCAGTTGCAAAACACAATTAAATATTGCAGTATTATCTAGCATTCGTTGTTAGTGTGGTTAGCCAATTCATGCATGACTAGAGAGAGAGAGAGACCTACAAGTATTAGACAAAATCCTATAGTATTTAAAAGCTACACCTGGTAAAGGATTATTATTCAAACGGGGTAGAAATCTATGAATGGAAGCATATATAGATGGTGAGTGTGCAGGATCGGTTATTCATAGGAGGTCAACCTCTAATTACTATATGTTCTTGGCTGGAAATTTAGTTACATGGAGAAGTAAGAAATAATTTTTTTTGGCCTGTTCAAGTCCAGAGGCTGAGTTTTGAGCTATGGCAAAAGGAGTTTGTGAGATATTATGGATTGAGATTATATTGGAGGATCTTGAGATAAAGTATGAAACTCGTATGAAGTTGATTGTGACAACAAATCAGCCATTAGCAATGCTTATAATCCGGTTGAGCATGATAGAACCAAACACATTGAGATAGATTAATATTTCAAAAAAGAGAAGATAGATAGGGGACTAATTCACAACAACATATGTTTCTTCAGGGGTCCAGCTAGCAGATTTGTTAACTAAATGTCTTCCTACGGAGAGGTTTGAGGATCTTACTCGCAAGTTGGGAATAATAGATCCATTCTTAAAGTGTTGTAATAGTCTCACATTAGTCCCGCATCCTTAACCCCATAATATTATCTATAAAATTATTGCAATTATTTAAAAATATTTTGTTAACCTAGAATGGTCATTATTTTAGGCAAGTCAATATTTGGCTAGGTCTATACATTATAATGAACTTATGTGCAGTTTAATTCATTCAGAAATAAAAATTCTGTATTTTTCCATTCAAGTTATCCCATAACAAATGTAAAGGGAAAGAGATATTTAGATTTTTCATCTCTTTTTCTAAGAGTAACCTACATATGGAAGAAATGTAGAATCTTACCTCTTCTGGTGGATCATAGTATATTCCATTGTATGGAATTTCACCAGGAGCCTGTACAGAGAACTTGATCCAAGCAGGAATTGAGTCCTTGATTCCAGAAGGAGTATCCATACGAATCTACAAATATATATTTAAGAGATACTTAATTCACACTTCACAGAACAAACCCACAAGCTTAGTTCAAGATATCTAGAAACGTTTAACATGCATGATCCTAGCTAAAAAGTTGTCCCCATTAGCACTTTTCTTTGATACAAGAAATACACTAAGAGAAAGAAAGTAGAGAACAACATAAGTCAAGGATAAGATATCCTCATAAAAGAAACAATAAACACTTAAAAACCAAATATAAAGAGAAAGACAGATTAACTAGCAAACCTCGCCAATCTTCTTGACGACCGGTGGGTTTTGAAAGGAAGCATCGACATTTCAAAATAATAGCCATAACTGTGTTGGACATGTATACGTGTCAGAACACTTCCCGCACAGACACTTCAGACACTCATTGTTATATTCTATATATATATATATGTATATTTTTTTTTTTTTTTGAACTTTTACAACAATACAGATGGAAACACCATAATAATTAGATAAATTATAGCATTTTATTATGTTTACAATGACTCATGCTAACTTTCAAAACATTGATTCTCTCTTTTTATTTAAGACTTGTGTATTTATGTTAATTTTATATGTTGTACTATGGTTGTGTCGTGTCCAATAATTTTTAAAATTTACCATATCCCCATGTCCATGTTGTATTATATCTGTGTCTCGTGTTGTATTTGTGCTTCCTAGATGGTTTGTGCAAAAAAAGTGAGTTAACCACCTACTTATACACAGACAAGTAGCAGGATGTAATACTTTCTCTCTGGTGTTTCAGGGATGTTGTCAACCACAATAAAGGTTGGAGACGCTTTGGGAGAAGAAGAAAAAGAATCATTGTCCCATGCTGCCTATTATGGCATACCGTGTACTGCACTGGAAAGGCACATTAAGACTTTCAAGGAAGAAGTTTCTACAGAAGATTTGAAGCATCATTTTAAATGAACGTGTATAATGGGTAGAGGACTTCCTACATTCAATTCCTCAAGATAACATCTTATTTAGATGTACAAAGAAAAATTTTAAGGATAAGAAATGCTGTAATATATATATAAAAAAAAGATAATGCAAAAAAGCCCTCTGTACATCAATAAGATAAATATCTTAAATCTCCTGCAATGAAGTTTTTTTATTCATCCAAACATTCTAAGAAAAAGGAAATGTAGCGAAAGAAAAATTATGGAACATACAGGTGGATGGTTTCAGAAGACAATCTAACCCTCGAATAATATTCTCTATTGAATTGTCTTCACACAATTTACAGCATATATCCAAGCATATAGGCCACATTACTATCATTCTTGAAACAAATTCAACACATCACTCCATTGTAAATGACCAGTCATATGTTACAAAAACACTAGCAATGCATAGACTAGCAGAAAATATCTGTCAGCTTGTCAATAATAGAGGACAATTTTCCAGATATCCTTTATTACTGGGTAGCGTTATAATAACAGATAGCATTATTCTTCATACATGCAAGGAATTTTGTCTTCTTTCCAATTGTAATTCTTGATTAAAAAAAATATAAAAATATATAGGAAAGGATTATGTGGAACCAGATCATATACTTGGAAAAATCTTTATTATTTGTGGTACATGATTCATTATGCCAACTAAAAAAAATAGTTATTTGATAAAGAAATAAAAATAAAGACTATAATCAATGATTATATGCACATATGTGGAGATCATCAAAATAATCATATTCTGTTCAGGATAAAAATTACCTTGACTCGAGAACCATGAGGAATTGGTGGTGAACCATCCACATTGTTCGGCAAGAAGATCTCCCACACACCAAACTCATTCTGTTTAGACAAAACTAGAACGTTTGAAGACTACCAATAGCATCATAATTTTCAATTATATTAAAGTAAGGATATCCAATATCCGGGACCAGGAGTCAGTAAGATTTGTCACAATCACATTCACATCAATTTGTACAGGATACTAGAGATTCCATGCTTCTAACAATATCATTTTTGGGAGAAAATATTTTCGAGTGGCATCACTAACTTCTACGGTACACAATCAGCTATCTTTTTCAATTGTAAAACTTCCATTGCAAACTAACAATCAGCTATCTCTTCATTCTATGTGGGGGTCACGAATACATTTGAGAACATAAGAAGCAACACACAACACATAACTCACCATAGGACAATGCAACTGTTAGAATATCTACAAAATCTCTTATAAAATCATTATTGCATCTCTGAATATTTTACAATATCTTACATGATCTTTATAATATATTGTGGAATCAATTAGTCATCTAATTAAGGAAACAATCTTAACAATTATTTCCAATTCATTATGATTCCTGATTTATTTCCTTATTTAATTAGGGTTGATTAGATTTGGGCTTGTACTAGTAATACTACAATAATACTCGACCAAATTACCAAAAGATATAAAATTATTCATGTGCTTTTAACCTAAAAGCTTAAGTTTTTTGGATGGTTGATTTATGACAAGGTATTAAAGCTTCTATGACCATATGGTCTACAGTTCAATCCTTATTACACCCATTCTTCTAAATAAAAGTTAAATTTCAGCGCAAGGTAAGGTGAGCTGGTGCATAATCCATGCTTGAAGTCCAAAGGACTCTTACGTGAAGGTACATGTTAGATATAAAACAATTCATGTGCGAGCCTACGGAATAGTTGGTTCATGACAAATATACTACTCGATCAGTATTTTGTATCACATTTATGTCATTACGCACCATATCAATCTAACAAAATATTACCAAGAGCCTCATTTCTTTCTTTTACTCCTCTACCTATGTAATACCCGAAAAAATAAATAAATAAATAAATAAAATAAAGTAGTAATAATAATAATAATGTATACCCATACGTATATTATATGATGTTAGATATATTGGTTTTAGCATAAAGTAGTGTTATAAGCATTGATATTGATTGTGAGTAATAGTGATTTAATTGATAATGATTTCTATTTAATTTTGTATCCGTTAAGATATATCAATGATAATTTCTAAAAAATAATAGTGATAAAATTTCTAAAAATAATAACATTATCCTTATTGTATCATAATATTAAATGCTTTGGATTAGGATGAGTCAGCCACAAGTTAGCATCATCCTATGAGTGAGTCAGCAATATCTTATCAAGAGCCCATAAGAAAACTAAAAGGAAAAAAATCCTAAAAGGAAAAGGACACAAATAATTCTAGGAAGGAAAAGGAAAGAAATCCTAAGAAGAAAAATGAAACAAATAATTTCAGGAAGAAAAGGAAACAAATTCTACAAAACCCATATCTTGAACCCAAAACTTCAACTAACCAAACTAAATCGTTTCTAACCCACAATATCTCTCCATTTCTCTTCTCATCTTCTCTTTCTTCTTAATTAAAATTTTATTTTATTTTTAATTATTATTTTTGGCTACCAAACTACGTTTCCTAAATCGCTCTTCTTCCAAAGAAGTCATTAATCACGGAGATCAGGTAATCCTAATCTCAAAGAAGTCATTAATCACGAAGATCAGATAATCCTAACCCCCAGGTGATCTTAGGTTAGTTTTGTATGAAGTTTGATCCTTAAGATATCATAGGTAATTTTCAAATTCAAATTACTACATGTGATATTTAGAGTATTTTTGGAAATTTTATTTGAAAAATAATAGGATTATTATTTTTGGGAATAAATAGAGATGATGAATAATTTACTATATTTAATTAGATGACGAAAAATTGATTATGTGTGAATAAATGTGGAAATTATGATTAAGAAAACTTTCCAAATATGTGATTGTCAGAATACCCACTCCTCATCATCTTCATTATTTGCTGTATGTATAATTAAGGAATGGGTTTCCATTCCAGCATGGGTTTCCATGTTAGTATAGGTCTCCATGCTTTTCTTTATTAAAGTTCTTGTACATTATTGCTGAGTGTATTGATTATAAATACAATAGAGCTTCAGAGAATTCTCTAAGCTATTCCAATATCTCTTTCTACATGGTATCATGAGCTAGGTACATTCAGGAACCAAAACCACAGTGAAGAGAAGAAAGCTTCACTACCGTACATGTTCAAAAGCTTAGAAATTCATCAACAAACCCCAAAACCTTAGTAAATCGAGATGGAAATACTCCCATTCAAACCAGAAATTTCCGACGACCCAATCTGGAGCTCCCCACCGGCAGAAAATTCCTCACGCGCCTCCACAGTCAGGGAGCGTGAGTCCCACGCGCAGTCTAACTCCTGGAGCGTGAAGGCCACACGCTGCCTTCCACTGCTCGTCTCCGGACACCGTTAAGTTCGCCGTGCTCGCCCCAGCCTCCTCTTTCTGTTCCAGTACTGTGTTGGTTTGCTAGTTCCTTTTTTCTCACATGTCTAACTGTTTCTTCATCTTTGTCTTCTTCATCTCTTTATATGAACGCCATTTTTTTGTTTCCAGTACTGCTTCTTCATCTCACATGCCAGTAAACATGACATTTTCCTTTCTTTGACTCCATATACCTACAGTACTCAGTTGCTCTTTGTTTTAATAGTGGATCATCCAAATCCACTTCTTATTGTTTGTTTGTCAATCATTTCTGCCTTGTTTTGTGCGGTTTGGTTCTGTTTTTTCCTGTATTGGAGTAAATATGGCTTCAAATGATGAAGATTCTTCTGATCCCAAAGATCCTGTTTCATCCGAAGTTACCAATCTGGTACGTCATGCTCCAGTTGCTTATGCTTTTTCAGGTTCACCAACAATTACATCTGAAAAGTTAAAAAGTAAGAACTATTTAGCTTGGTCCTCTTCTGTTGAGTTGTGGTTTCTTGGTCAAGGTCTTTCAGACCATCTTGAAAAGTCAATTTCTGATATTCCTCAAATAGAACGAAGTCAATGGGAAAGGTTTGACTATCAGTTATGTGCCTTGTTATGGCAATCTGTGGAACCCACAATTTTAATTAATTTTCGCACTTTTAAAACATGTGTCACTTTTTGGAATAAAGCTCGCAGCTTATTTGCTAATGACATTCAAAGACTCTATGATGCAGCCTAGAAATTGGCTTCTCTTCACCAAAATAGTCATGATATGACAAGTTTTGTTGCTCAGGCACAAGCAACAGTGGAGAAACTAAAAATGTTTTTACAGGCTGACAGCCATCAAGGCTTGTTGGGAAAGTTGGAAAATCTATATGTAGTCCTAGTATTGCGTGCTATGCATCCTGATTTCAATCACATTCGAGATCAACTTTTGACTAGTCATGAAGTACCCACCATGGACTATCTTACCACTCGCCTCTTGAGGGTCCCCAATTCCACTCCTTCAGACCCGCGTCCCAACATAATTGACACTTCAGCTTCCGCTTTGGTCACTAACTCTGGCTTTCGTGGAGGACGTGGAAGTCGTGGTGGACGAGGAATTCGGGGAGGGCGAGGTGGTCGTGGTAATCGCAACAACAATCTTCACTGCACATACTGTAAGCGATCAGGCCACACTCAGGAGACATGTTACTCTCTACATGGTTTCCCTGATAAATCTGTCAATCTCACTCAGTCTGAACTTGGTGTAGAAGAAGGGACGAGATTTAACAGATCTGGTGAACAGTCATTTTCTCTTACAGAAAAGGAGTTTCAGGAATTTCTTCAGTTGAAAGCAGCAAAGTCAACCCAATCCTCTACTACCACTGTTGCTCATTCGGGTAATCCTACAGTTTGTATTTCTCATAAGGGTAATAATTCCACACCCTGGATCCTTGATTCAGGTGCCTCTGACCATGTAGCTGGTAATCAGTCTCTCTTCTCTTCTCTTCTCTTCTCTTTCTTCACCAACTTGTCCTCGTTTAGTAACTTTAGCTGATGGTTCCAAAGTATTTGTCCGAGGCATTGGTGTTGTTTCACCCAATTCATCCATGTCATTAAATTCTACTTTATTCATACCTGGTTGTCCATTTAATTTAATTTCCTTGAGTCAGCTTACAAGATCTCTGAAGTGTTCTGTAACTTTTTATTCTGATTCTTTTGTTATCCAGGACCGTGGTACGGGAAAGACGATTGACATAGGACATGAATCACAAGGACTTTATTACCTCCAATCAACCTCTCATATGGCATGTGCTACTGTGGAATCTCCTAGTCTTCTCCATCACCGTCTTGGTCATCCCAGTTTATTAAAACTTAAAAAAATGGTCCCAGGTCTTGAAAATCTGAAGTCTTTCAGTTGTGAGTCATGTCAACTTGGCAAGCATTTTCGGTCTTCTTTTCCTAGTAAGGTCAACAGTCAAACAACATCTAGTTTTTCTGTTATCCATTCTGATGTTCGGGGTCCTAGTCGTGTTTCTACACCAACTGAGTTTAAATATTTTGTGACTTTCATTGATGATTTTTCTCAATGTACTTGGTTATTTTTAATGAAGGAACGTTCAGAAGTCTTTCCCATATTTCAATCCTTCTGCAGTGAGATTCATAATCAATTTGGCTAAACAATCAAAGTTTTACGTAGTGATAATGCCAAAGAATATTTTTCTGCTGACTTCTCATTGTTTATGTCATCTCATGGGATTTTGCATCAATCATCATGTCCGCATACCCCCCAACAAAATGGAGTAGCCGAAAGAAAAAATCGTCACCTTATTGAAACTACTCGTACATTGTTGTTGGATGCTCATATGCCACTGCAATTTTGGGGGGATGCTGTCCTAACCGCTTGCTATTTGATTAATCGTATGCCTTCCTCTGCTATCAATCATCAAGTCCCTATTCAGGTGTTGGACCCTCAAATTCCTTTGTATACAGTTCCTCCTCGAGTATTTGGTTGTACTTGTTTTGTCCATGATCTATCT